GCCACTAGAAAACACATCCAGGAGGCAGAACCCTTGCCTCCGGAGGGGGAATCAATCCAAGGACTCTGTCATCGCAATAGTGCATCAAGAAGGCTACATCATCATCACCATAACTTCATCCTCATCTATTTGTAATACAATAGTTGGAGTGTATTCAATCTTGTGTTATTTGTGTGAGATCATCATTTTCATCATGATTCATCTCATCTCGTTTGTGCCCTTGATGTGTGAGCAATTTCCATAGTTCTTGAGGATATGGAGGAAACCTAGTGTGTAATACTCCCTCTATCCATCTATATAGAGCCTAATGCGTTTTTTGAGGCTAACTTTGATCACACGTTAGAGCAATAATATATGAAATGCAAGTTACACAAAGCATACCGTCAAATTCATACTTAAAAAGGAGCTTCCAATAATATAATTTTCTCCTTATACAACTCATATACTATTAACCTTATCAGTAGTCAAAACAATATCAAAAAACACATTAGGCGCTATATATATATGGATGGAGGAAGTAGATCGTTTGGTATTAGCATTTCATATCCTCTTTGTATGTTTATGTTAATAGTCTTCTTGATGTTGGGTGAAATCAACCATCCAACATATGCCAATTTTGAACGGAAGGTTATTACTATTGGTGAACCGGCTGGTTGTGGAGGTAGTAAGTGACAAAGGCCTATCTCTCTTCATCCCAGATCAATGCAGCAGGGGATAAACGGAGACCGCTTACAGACTGCTTCCGTAGGGATCTTTTTCCTCTTAATCACCATTTGGTAACCAGAGTGCAGAAGAATGGTGGCGGCGTATGTGATACAGAGCTGCTACGTGTATGCACGTATCTGTACCGGCTCAGTCCGCAAATAGAAACATACAACGTTGCTTGGGAATTGACGTAGCATTATGCTTAGGTATCATTCGTTAGACCCATGCTAGTGGGAAATCCAGACTCTTTGGGACGCCTTAGTCCTATCGATTTCAACAACTTTCACTCACGTCTCATGTTACTTTATTTTACCGCTACAATTTACTTCACTATTTGCTACACCACTTCTATTATATTACTATTTAACTTGCATGCACTGCTATTTGAACACTACAAGAGACAAAAGGCTCATTCATGTGCTCCCCATGGGTTCGATACTCATACTTCAAAAAAGCTATAACTAAACCCTATGCACTTGCAGGCCATCACCCGGCCGCATCCGCGAGCGTATGGCAACCCATATTAGTTATATGTGGTTGTAGATGCTCTTAGGTGTGGCAACTTAAGTCAACCTTACTCACAAACTAAATAACCCCTAAAAAGTAGTTTTAGGAATGTTAACTAAGGGCATCTCTCCAACGCTGATCCCAAACCGGACATTGCATCCTGCCACGGATCGGGGGACCAGTCCGGAGACACTAATGTGGGAGGCAGTTATCCAACCGTAGCCGCATACATTTTAAACTGGATTTCAACCGGACGAATTACATGCAAACCAGATAATTTCCATCTAAACAAGAGCACATTCATTACATTTTGGATATTTTTCATTAAAAAATTGCGGGCAGACCTAAACCTAGCCTACGTCATCGGCTATCGTTCACTTCCTTTGTATTACACATCGACGATCACATGCTTCATCTGCCATCTCCATGAGCAGCGGTTGGCAAAACCTGTGAAGAGAAGGTGCGATAGCCAGCTAGGAAGAGTAGAAAATGGGAGATGGACCAACCCATTTGGTACTGGAGCCCCCGCTGCCTCGCATGCCCTACTCATCATCGTCGGAGTCTGCGACTTGTCCGTCGCCGGTGGACGTGGACGGGTCATCACTGTCCTCCTACCACATGCAACCCCTAAAGTTCGGTGGCAGCGCGTAGGATGCACAGCTGACGGCGTTCTCGTCATCGATCGCCTGCACTAGCGGGACCACCTACGTGTCCAGCTGCGCCACGTCTGCATTGCAAGCATCGGCTTGAGCACGTGAAGCCTCGTAGAGCGCCCGCTACTCCACGACGAAGTTGGGGTTCGCCGCGGCCATTGTAGCCACGGCCTCCTCGCTCGTGCGCTCGTCGTAGCCACGACCTCCTCTCTACATAGATTTGGCCCTCCGCTAGCCGATGCTGCTCGAGGAGGAACATGTTATATCGTTGCTCCTCCTGCGCCTATCGAAACACCGACATAGGCACTGGCAGGCTGCTCCTCTTCCATGGCAGGAGTGAAGTGCATCTGCGCCTGCTCCATGATGAAGCCAACATGTACAGGCGCGAGCTCCATCGTGGAGTCGTCGTCAGAACACATTTGCATCGTTGGGTCGTCGTCGAACACCTCAGGCGAGCTGGCCGGAATGCCGACCTCGATCCGCTCGGAATGGCGTTTCTGCATGGATGCCACAAGGGCAGCCACCTCGTGATTCTGCTCCGTCGATAGGCTCTCCCACAACGCGTTCCTGGCCGCGATCATGGCGGATGTCTGTGTGGCCGCCCTTAAATAGCGGTTTCCGGTGAGGCCAAGTGTCCGGGTGCGTCAATGCGCGAGCGGTGGAGTTGGTTCCTCAGCCGGCGAGCCTGTTTAATGGTGGCAGAAGGACGAACGGGCATTGAATAGGTGTGGTAGATATCTGTCTTGTCCCGTCCGATAAAAGTATCTTCAACATTGAGAAGGCGTCAGGTGCGGACACCGGGGACACGCCGCGGGCGGCGCCCTTAGCCGGCGAGGCTTCAATGCTGCCGCCAGTGAGAGGTCACGTCCGCTCTGGGCTAGCGTCAATGTGAAGTGGCTGCTCTACAGCGGCATGAATGCGGGCACCTAGCGTCGGGCGGGAATGCACACGGGCGAGGGAGAGGGTTTTGGGTGGGCCAGACTTGTCGGAAACGGGCATGGCAGCGGGCCGGACGACCGCAAAGCCCTCCCACTTTGTTTTCGGTTTTCAGGAAAAAATAGATCCAAATCAGTTGGCGGATCGATGCCGGACCATGTTGGATGGGCGAAACACGTCCGGACAACACGGTTTAGACGGTTGCTGGCGGTTTGAGCCGATAGTTTTGTGTATTTACTGGCGATGAAGAAAGGCAGTTGAACTTTTTGGACCCTTATAAATGGTACACGTCACATACGAGCACATGACAACTTCGAACGGTTTTATGGCAAATTTAGTTACTCGAGAATTGCAATTTTAGTTGGAAAGCATGTCAACTTCATGTTTCAGTTTATTTTTGACAGAAACTTATAGTGTGTCGTTGAAATTTGCCATCCTTACCCGGTTGAAATTGCGATGAAAACGTCGGGGCCGGAGTGTCACGGGCCTAAATTGTGTGGCACTTATCATTTATGATTTATTATTTTTACGGGTTTCTATTTATCTTGGAGTCAGAGATAGTGGGGTAGGTTAGGGAAATCTCGCTCTCGGCCAGCGTGCCGCGTCCTTTCCAACTCCGAACATGTCCTTTCCGTCAACCAGCAAGCCGCGTCGCTCTCCGGCCAGACCCCTTCCCGTCAGCCAGCGAGCCGCGTCGTTTTAAAAAAAAAATCTCGCTCCCCGGTCAGATCCCCTTCCCGTCAGCCAGCGAGCCGCGTCATCCATCTCGCTGTCCGGCGAAATCCGTTCCGTG